CTTTGGCTGTCAGCCTTTTCATTATATTATCTTTTTAGTGTCTGCCGTGAGGTTTTTAGTAGATAAAACAGGTAAAGCTTGGGGGAAGGACCTTCTCTAGCAATAGCAGATCTGAAAAGTACTAAATGGCAACTTCCCCTTCGGAGGCATGGATTGCTCAGTTTGACTTAGTTTCTCTGATCTTTTTATGACAGCTGAAATCTCAGATTTAATATTTCACAAAGCTCCTGTCTTCCCCACGCAGTTTATGAATTGCAGATACATTTCGCTCATAGCTATTTACAGTGTGCTTCCTTGGCCTCCCACTTTACTAGAACACACTTTTGGAGCAACCAAACCTAGTTTTATTTTCTGCAGACAGTGAGGAAGTATGGTCCAGTGGACAGAATATTGGGCTGAGACTTAGTCACCTGGTTTCTGTTCCCTACTATCACTTTTAGCCAGTCACACAGTACATGTCGCTTCACTTTCTGTGCCTCCCATCCAGTCTGTCTTGCCTACTTAAATTGTAAATTTTTGAGGCAGGAATATTTTGTACTGAAACTGACATAGCAGCTGCCCAATCTCAGTTGGGTCTTCCTGGTATTGCTATAATCAGAAATTTTATAATGTGCCCCCTACTTGACTTCCAAGGCAGAACCTACAACTGGGAAGGAGGAGACCTGATTTGCAGACAGAAGAAACTATTCTTTCTCTCATATTAAGAATGTAATACTATGTAGTTGTTTAATAGGGAAAACTTGTTCATTAACACTGTTATAATCTTTGATGTGAAGACATCCTTGACCTGAAGAAGCCAGACCCTTTTCTTGGCCAGAGCCAAATGATTAGAACACTGTGTCTCATAAATCCATGCAATATTTACTATATTAATGCACATTTTAACAGTTCTTCCAAAGCTTTCTGAAATCTAGAAGGATTGTGATGCTTTGCTTATCCCATCATGGGTGCATTCCCATACAATGGTCAGGGCTAAGAAAATCTTAAAACAGATTATCAAGTTTGGAAACCATAGAGAAAGATAAGTGGAAATTGCCCTCAAAGTTTGCTTAGAAACCGTAGACTTGAGTGGTTCTTGGAGCATTAGTCGTTTAATTTTGAAGTAAAATAAAGGAGAACCTTATTTAGAACAAATGACTCCCAAGGTCATCTTACATTTAGTCTTGTAACAAAATTCACAATGTTGTGTCTGACTCCAAGTATAAAGGTTCACATAGGTTCCCAATCACTCTTCACCCATAGCTATATCCTAGATGACCCTCTGGTTTAGAGATCTTGATCTTTGGTTGTGGCAGGACAATGGGATTTGCCTGGAATATGATTTTCTCAAAACAAAAGGTGTCTGGTAGCAGGCACAGTGAAACTATAGAATGACCAGAGGGGTAAAAGAGTGGCCACGTGGAGGCGGGGCTCAAGATGTTACCAGGTATTGTACACAGGTAAGCTACTATGCTGATGAGCCACCAGCCAGGCAGCCTGGCCTCCCTTGCCTTGTCCAGTTCCAGGGAGCCAGCACTCGGGCAGCACGGCCCTGGCTAGCCCTGGGAGATCAGCCAACCTTCTGTACCTCCACCTCTTGCCCTGAGCCTCTCTTCACCCTCAAACCTGAATACTGCACCCCCATGCCCTCCTGCCCTGAGCCCCACCTTAATGACCTGAGCAAGGCTAAATGTGCTAGTATTATAATAATTGTCGTTTAAGGGTAAAAGAGATTGATTAGAAATCTTATTTGGTTTTGGTCATATAGTTTCTAATGCATTTTGGGCTAAATGCAGTTGTTTATATGTAGCTGTTCTCTAAGCCCTGTGGTGGTGGGGGAACAGTGTTAATAGAACAACATCTTGTCTTAACGGAAGCCTGTACCAGATTCTTCAGAGGCCTGAACAAGAATCACTGTAATGGACAATTTTAGGAAATAATCTTCCCATAGACCGGGGTAGGCACTAATTTTTAAAAGCGGGCTACTTTATAAATTTAAGTAGTCCCAGGTACCCCAAAGGGGTGGGGCCTCAGGCAGAAGAGGCGGGTCCAGGAGATTTCTCCTGCTCTCTCCCCTACAAACCCTGATTGTCCTGGAGGTGGGAGAGTGCATGAAGTCTCCCCAAGAATCACCAACTGTTTTTAAACAGTTTAAAACTCTAGGCACCGCAATGGGAAGAGATCTTATGCACTTCCCCCCTCCCTGGTCCCCAGGCCCAGATTGCGTCAAACCTCTCACCCCCTACCCCTGCCCTGTCTGGGGTTGGTGGTGGCTAGAGAGAAACAATGGCTATTTTAAAACAACTGGGCTATGTCTACACTCGCGGCTTCTTGCGCAAGTAATATGCAAATGAGGCTAAGCGTGGAATATTGCTGAGACTCATTTGCATACCTAATGAGCCACCATTTTTTTCAGAAGGCTCTTGCGCAAGAAGGATCGTCTGCACTGCCCCTTCTTGCGCAAGAAAAACCCTCTTGCGCAACGCCGTTCTTCCTGAAAAGTAATAGGTGTAACGGCATTGCGCAAGAGGGTTTTTCTTGCACAAGAAGGGGCAGTGTAGATGCTCCTTGTGCTAGAGCCTCTTCTGAAAAAAATGGTGGCTCATTAGGTATGCAAATGAGGCTCAGCGATATTCCACGCTTAGCCTCATTTGCATATTACTTGCGCAAGAAGCCACGAGTGTAGACATAGCCCTGGTGTTTCTCTCTAGCTGCCATGTGCTCTTGACTGGGGGAGGAAACTACACGTGCTCCCCAGGTCTCCATTGGCCTGGGGGTGAAAGAGTAGCGGGGCAACCACAGGCCAGATCCACCGGTTTAGCAAGCTGGATCCAGCCTGCGGAGGCTCCTTTGCCCACCCCAGCCATAGACAGTTTCTTTTCAACTTCAGCCAGTTGTGGTATTTATGCCTTAAGCAGGAAGGTCTATTTTTTTTTTTTTGGTTGCATTCAGTCTGAAATGTTCTCATCCACATACATGTCTGCATTTCTTAATCCTAAAATCTTGGATTCAAGGGAGCTTGTGACATTCAGTTCTGCAAGTTAATTAATTGCAATATTTCTCCTGACCAATTTTAAAATATAATGCTTGTTAGCTTCCTGGGCTGTTCTCTTGCACTTGTGTTACGAGAAGATAAAGAAAGAGCCCCTTTTTCTATCCCATTTTCATGTCAAAAAATTTTTGCCCCATGGGTTGTTTCAGACATTTTGAAAGCATTTTTAATTCACCCCCCTCACCATTATCTGACAAACCATTCTAGAGAATGCAAGTTTTCAGTTAAAAACCTGAATTGCCCTAAATGTTGAAAATCTTTTGAATGGGAAGTCCAAGCCCCCAGCGTAATGGGTTTTTTCTTGAATTAGCCTGTTTGCAGAGCCAGAATCCTATTTTAGGGGCACTCCCTGTAAAAAATGAATTGTTTGTATCCATTTGAATTCAAGGTACCAATGATGAGAGAATGGATCATCCTTCTGGTGGATAGTCTTGAGGTCTCAGATTACTAAAATTCATGATGCTGGAGACTACCATTAGTACTTTCATAAAATTCAGACTGCCAATATTTCATCTTAAGATTCTGATGCTACATAGGGGAGGGTGTTTTTGTTTTGTGTGGTTGTTTGCTTTGTAGCAGCTGCTTCAACTCTGTGATTCAAGCTACCATGCTAAGATCATGCTTTCCTTATTAGACGTGGCAGAATTTTGGCTAGGTTTTTCCTATAATTTTGTCAGATGCTTTTTTCTAGAGTTGTTTTTCCTTGTGTTCATAGTTGGGGGAAATCATAGCAGGGAAGAGTCAATTACTTAATGACAGTAGATGTCGAGATTCAAAATGTTAGTTTTATAATACTACATAATTCTCTACAGCTCCAGTTTTGCTAACCCTGGAGCCAACTGTTTAGGCAGTGTTGTAAATACATGCTTCATTCAGCATTCATTACAATATGTTTTATATCTAATAAGGAGGGACTCTAAATTCTGAAGCACCACTTTTCATTCTTTTCCTATCTGCAAATTTGATGATAATCAAATAGAATTTTTTTCATTGGCTTATGTGAATCAGAAAAGTCATGTAATGACATTTGCTGATATAAAGGAGGCTTGGAAGGATGATTTTTAATGTAGAGTTGCTCAGCAAGGTGCAAGTAAATTTTAAAGTTTTATAAATGTTTAAGGCATGACTAATAAATAAATGTGACCCAGATACCTTTATAGCCATGTATCCAAAAAACACAGGATTAACAAACAGTTCTCTGTTCCCAGCTGGATCCTACAGTCACCTGGTGGAAGAAGCAAAGGTTTGTGCAGGAATCCCATTCAGCCACACTCCCATTAAGGTCATGCTAACATCAGATGCTTCCTC